CGGCCTGCCCGGTGCCAGGGGACGGGGCCAGGTGTGAGGAGGGCTCATCAGCTCGGCAGTGCCGGCCCCGAGGGCTCGCCAGGTGTGAACTCTGATTTTTTTTATTTTCTTTTTCTGGCTTGCCTCCTCTGTAAGGCTGCTGCTGTGCTTAGCTGGTAGAGTATGGAGCAAAAGCGTGCTTCTGCTTGCAACTGTTGCGTTAAAAATAGTCTGTGAGGGATGAAACTTAGCGTCAGGGCGACTGAGGTGCGCGGTAGCTGAAGGTTAGCCGATCGCCTGCCGTACTGCTCTTCTCTGCTAAACCTGACAGAAGGCCGTGAGGGGGCAACTACCACCTACTTACCGTGGGAGCCTCAGTGGGGGTTACGGGAGCTGCTTGGCTCCAAAGGTGGGTTTTGTATCAGGTTGTTGTCTTGCTCCAAGGATTTCCTGGGTGTTTTCTCATGATGGCTTATTTGGGTTGGAATTGACTAGAATTTCCTGGAAAAGCAAACATTTAAAGCCTTTAAGTACTGCAGGAAAGTTTGTTAAGCATCTTTCAGGCATTTCTTCACTGTCAATAGCTCTTGTGTGAATCTATTGTAACTTGTCTGTAAGCTGTGAGGAGACCTGACAGCCGGCCTGACTATAGGGATGGGAGGATTTTGTTGGTTCTGGCCTAAGTGCAATTGTAAGACAAGCCAGGCACCTACAAGTGATTTGTACCTTGGTAGATGTTAGTAGGCTGGTGCTGTTGCCCTCTAGGGTGGATCTGGTTACAGTTTTTCCTATGGAAACACCCCAAGACCTGAATGAGACTAAAGGCCCTCCTAGGGGAAGGGGGACCATGCTCCAGATGCTCAGTCTCGGGAATTTGTTGACCCTTGATTAAGTTTTTTATGAGCTGAAGACCTCCAGGGGAGACAGGAATGTCAGAGTTACGGAGCAGTTCAGCCTGTAAAGCTACTGGTTTGGTAACTTAAGTGTTGTATAACTGCACAGGAACCAGAATTGCTACCAAAGGTGGTTGATTTGTAGACCAGCTCTTCTGCTTGGCA